CATATATGAGCCGACATGGATGTGTATATATGTTATAGACAGACATATGAATACAGATTCAAATAGAATACTCTCTGTAGAGAATGCTATACACACACACACACACCATTCATTAATGTATCATCATTTTTACATTCTAAGATGTTTACAAGAATTCAGACTTAAGAAGGGCTGGGCACTAGGGGCTCATGCCCATAATCCTAACTGCTAAGGAGGCTGAGATTGGAGGGTTACGGTTCTAAAGTAGTCCAGGGAGGAAAGTCCATCAGATGATTATTGCCAATGAACCACTAGAAAAAGCCAGGGATTAGGTGACTCAAGTGACAGAGAACTAGCCTTTAGTCAAAAAAAGAAAAAAGAAAAAAAGAAAAGCTTACCGGCCACTAGTGGCTCACGCCTGTCATCCCAGCTACTCAGGAGTCTGAGATCTGAGGATCATGGTTCGAAGCCAGTCCAGGGAAGGAAAGACCCATGAGACTCTTACTTCCAATGAACCACTCAAACACCAGAAGCTCAAAGTGGTAGAGCACTAGCTTTGAGTGAAAGAGCTGAGGGACGGTACCCAGGCCCTGAGTTCAAACCCCACGACCAACCAAGAAGAAAGAACATCTCAGGGGTAGAGACCAGGCCCTGACTTCAAACAGTACAATCATCACGTGCAACTTGTTTGTGCAGGCGCACACACATGCACACACACACACACACGCACAGAGCCATTACTGGGCTAGACATAACCCACTCATTGCTAAAGAATATACTGGAAATATATTGGAAATATATTCTTTTCCTAATAAACGTTTCTAACGTCTTTCTTATGACTTTCACTGGACAAAAAGCACAGTTTACTAAGAAAGACAGTAAGAGACTCATGAAGATGTACGTCTTTGCCCTTGATGTCCGTAATGACAAGTAGCTAAAAAGAATCTGAGATTCGAGTCATGGTTTCTCAGTATTTGTGGATGGATATGCACAGCGACTAGGAGGAGGACCACCGCATTCTCAGAAGCTCTTTTGCTTGAAATCTCGTCGGTTTTCTCTCAAGTATATGGTTGTGAGGCTATAACGCTATCCCAATGTGGCTTAGTGAGGTGTATTCTAGCGATCAAGAAAAAAAAATCTTAGAAAGGAATATTTTATGTATCTGCACAGCACCCCATATTTTCCTCCCATTGTATTTCATAAAGGAAAGGAAGTAAGACGTTCCAGCTCATAGCTGGGGTCTGCAAATGGTGCGTGTAAGTTTATTTACGTATTTCTGTCCTCGGAACACTTAAGGTCGCATGTTTAGCTCTAAAGGTTTTTCTAGGTTTGACATACTTATCAAGACACAGAGACTAAAGAAGAGAATAGGAAGAGACTAAGGAAGAGTAACGTTTTCCTTAGTGTACTCTATGGATAGATCGGTGAGAAGCTCCTGGCTTTTGATATAAGTAGTCTATCTGTCACTTTTACTTAACGAGAAATCAGAATGCCAATTATTTTTTCAAATCATTATTATTATTATTGTTGTTATTATTGTTGCCAGTTCTGGGTCTTGAACTCGTGGCCTGGGTGCCATCCCTTGGCCTCTTTGTGCTCTCCCACTGAGCCACAGCTCCACTATTGGCTCTTTCTGAGTGGTTTACTGGAGGTAAGAGTCTTGTTGACTTTTCTGCCTGGGCTGGCTTCGAACTGTGATCCTCAGGTCTCATCCTCCTGAGTGGCTATGGTGACAGGCATGAGCCACTGGCTCCTGTCTTTCGATACAAAGTCATTGTCATTATTCAGGTGTTGGGCAGAGGGATTACCATTTCAAAAGTCAGGTCATGAGTACATTTCTTCAGTCAGTGTCGCATGACACAAATCCTGTCCATTGAGAACAACGTCGCGTCACTAGACTGAAAGCACGTGGCTTCCAGAGGCGGCGAGGAGACGGTAGCCGGGCCGTGCAGGGGGAAGAGGCAGAATGGCTGGATGGCTGCTGAGAGGGGGCTCATCCGCCCAGCTCCTCCTCTAAACCCAATCCAAATGCTACAGCGTCAGCAGGCCTGGGAGTTTCTGCGTGGTTCCAGCGTCTGGCACAACGCTGGTTTCAAGGCTGCCCCTGTGGTGGGAAGAGCTCTCTTCTGCTTTATTTCCAAGGGTATAAAGGAAGTGCCCTGGCTGCTCATGGAGGCGCTTCAGGTCCACTGTGGGTAATGTATGCTGAAAGCCGGTAGCACAGTGAGGGAGGGAAACATACTCTCTGTGCTATGTTGCATGAAGACTGAGTACGTTTTCGTAGGCAGTCTGCCTGTCTGTCTGTCTGTCCAATGTGAGTCAGGGAAGGGTGGACTCTTGACCTTTTCCAGGTGCACGGTTATGCTAGGCTCACACTTGCTCTGGGTTGCTCTTTAGCCCTGATGTTGTGAATAGGACTTATATTTCTACAAATGCTTGCAGGGGGGGAGGAGAGGGTAGGAGAAGAGAGAGAGAGACAGACAGACAGACAGACAGACACAGAGACAGAGCGGCAGGGATTGAGATAGAGACACAGAGAGACAGAGAAGAGAGAACTAGATAGACTATGTATGAACTGCAGGCATTGTTTTAGACAACTATTGCTTCCTCAAGTGCTTTATTTTTCATTCTAGTAACCAAGGTTCACAAGGAAGATGGAAGGAATTTCATGGTGAAAATGCCAGAATTTGGCATATTTGATGAGTGGGCTAAGAGCTAGGACTGAGAATTCCATTTTAAAACACAGGAAATCCAGGTCAACAAAGTATTCACCAAAACAATATAAAAACTCCAAAGAACAAAGTATCATGCTAGTACTAATACATTTTTGGTACATTTGCTAGTCCTGGGGCTTGAACTCAGGACCTTCGTGCTTTACCTGAGCTTTTTAGCTCAAGGCTGGCACTCTACCACTTAAGCCACAGCTCCATTTCTGATGTTTTGGGTAGATAAATAAAAATAAAGCAGGTAGGCTGCCTTCAAACCCGGATCCTCAGATCTCAGGCTTCTGAGTAGCTTAGATTCGAGGCCTGAACCACTTGTTTGCTCATTTTTATACTCCTCAATTCTAGTCGCTTTATTAGAACTCCAGAGTTATAATCTACTTACATCAAATAAATTTATTTTAAAAATTATAACCATTTCTTCAAGAGAACATAGAGAAATGTTAAAAGATTAAGGACAAATGTTAAAATCCAGGACGTGAAAATTCAAAATATAACCTAAAAGGGAAAAGTGTAACTGCTTTGCAGTATGGTTGAGTAGAATTTCTCAAAGGCAGCAGTTACTCATGATGCAAATGAGAGAACTTAAGAGCAGATACAGAAGTGGAATTTGGCTTAAATACTATTCCACATGAATAGCTAAATGATCATTTCACCCATTTGTTAGGGGCATTCTACTTTTATCAATGAAAGTTGTTTCATAGACCTTGTTTTTTCTATATTTGTGTTTTGATCAGGGTTACGATGTTTCAGAAGTCATTTGGCTTCCAAGTTCTCAGCCTGTCTTTGACATTTGTGCTGCAAGTTTTTCCCTTCGTAGAATACAGACGGCATGCTGGCTATAGGAGCTTTCAGATTACTACTCAAACTATCAGTGGACAAGTTACTTTTTGGCTTAAGAAAGAAGGAAAAGATGCAAAGTCACAGAGCATTTAAGTGAGCCTACAACATAAACAGTTACCTGTTTACACAGAGCATGAAGGGGTATCATGATCACATCAAAAATGATCACCTATTGGTGAAAAATGTCATTCACTCAAAATTGAGAGTGTTCTGGAAGCTGAAACACTACAATGCATTTAGATGGATTCCTCTACACTCCTTACCAAGCTTAAAACTAAAATCAAAGGGGAAACATACAAGACTCTGGACCCAGGAGGAGGACGCAGGACACACAGTGGAATTGGAAGAGATTTGGGGAACGGCGGATGACCAATGAACTGCGAGGCAGACAGCGTTCAGGTTTCATTTAACAACGAAACCAACAGAAGCCAGGCGCCATGACTCACACGTATCTCAGCTACTCAGAAGGCTAAAATCTGGGGTCTGAAGTTCCCACCCAGCCAGGCAAAGAACATTCACAAGACATTGATTTCCAATTATCCAGAGGAAAAAAAGCCCAAAAGGAGATGTGACTCCAACGGTAGAGCGCTAGCCTTAGGCACAAAAGCTCAGGGACAGCACCCAGGCCCTGGGTTCAAGCCCCAGACTGAGCATAAAAGTCAAGAATAAAACACGTAGGTGTAGGTGGCTCACACCTGTCATCCTAGCTACTCAGGAGGCTGAGATCTGAGGATCACAGTTCAAAGCCAGCCCCAGCAGGAAAGCCTATGAGACTGATCTCCAATGAACCACCAGAAAACCAGAAGTGGAGCTGTGGCTCAAGTGGTAGAGCGTTAGCCTAGAGTGAAAGAGCTCTGGGACAGTGTTAAGGCCCAGAGTTCAAGTCCCACAATCAACAACAACAACAACAAAAATCCCTACACAACAAACAAAAAAAAAAAAAAAAAAGAGAAGACTAATGAGAAACTGAGCCGCGTGAACAGGGAGGAGCAAAATGGTGGAGGGTCAACGAGTTCAGGAATCTAGATGTATCTTTCTGGGTAACAGAAACTTCTTTAAACACAAAGGGGAGGGTTAGGGGAGGGATGTGTGAGAACGTTGAAAGGGGTGGCTCTGATCTAGATATACTGTACAACTACTTAAGGATAAAAGAATTAAAAAACCAAGTTCCCATTGTACCTCTGCATAAATAAATACATCATAAAGAAGTAAAATAAACCCTCCAATTGCATTCACAGTTTTAGTATAGTATGGAAACCAAAGATACAGAAGTGAATTTATGAAGTGCAAATCATGGTTTTCGAAGCACAAGAGTAATCCACAGGCTGTTACTAGAAACACCAACACACGACCTTTCTGCCGCCATCTTGGTGTGGCCTTCCGGTAACCCAGCCCAGTCTCCAGACCCCACGCTCTCCACCCTTCCCTAGTGGCCCAGCCCTGGGGGGGACTTACTGCATCCGGCCTTGTAGCTGAAGCCGGGAGGGAGGAGGAATCCTTGCTGGGCGGCTGCAGCCAGGGTCCTTTGATCCGGAGGGAACACGGGGATCATTAAGGGCGGCAATTGACCTTGAACCTGCTGAACGAGACAGAGAGAATCAAGAGCAGAAGTTTCCAGATCTTTCACTCTTCCACCCTCCTTCAGTTCATGGTTCAAGGAAAATTCAATGACATAAGTTATTCCACCAAGGTTAAGGGCTCAAAAAATGATGAGTAGGCGGCAATGAAGTGAAATGTATCTCCGGAATTAACATCCGTTAGGATGGATTCTTTCTTCTTGTTATTATCTTTAAGTAGTTGTACAGAGGAATTGTTTTTTCACAAAGTAGTTGATGAATACAATGCATCTTGATTCATGTCACCCCTTTTCACATTCCGCTCTCCCCGCCCCCCCATCCAACGCCACCATTTTATCTCCCGGCCACAGCACAAATTCATTTTTCATGAGATAAAAACTAAACTGGTATCCTATGGATAACTTCACTATCTGAAGATAGAACTCTCACGGTCATAGAGTAAGTCTTAACAATCTTGAATAACAGGCCAGAAGAAAACCTATGCAACAATGACGACTTTCCCCTTCATTGGGTGACGAAGTGACTGGTTTGGTGGGAATGTAAACTAATACGACCACTCTAGACAGCAGTCTGGAGGTTCCTCAAACAAACGAAACCCAGGTCTTCCCCATGTCTCCGCCATACCACTCCTGGGCACCTACCCTGAACATGGTAAGCCAGGATACGATGAAGACACCTGTGCAGCCATGTTCATTGCTGTACTATTCACAATAGCCAAGATACAGAGACAGCCCAGATTCCCCACAATAGAGGATTGGATGACAAAATGTGTGTTTACAAAATAGAATTTTACACAGCCAGTAGAAAGAACAATAAGGTGCCATTTTCAGGGAAATGGATGGACCTAGGACAAATCATGTTAAGTGAGGTAAGCCAAGCTCTGGATGACCAGCAGTACAGGTTTTCTCTCATTTGTCACAGAGAGATCTAAATTAGAGGGGGCCATAATAAATGATACAGGACTCTAGGGATTCACACACTGTGAGGCCAAAGGGGAATTCTATTAGGAGAGGAACATATAAACAAGGCCTCTGTACCTCTGATCATCCAAAATGATATTTATTGAAATGATCTCCAGAAGATGGAAACAAGAGGCTTTTTTTCTTTTTCTTTTTCTGCTGTTTTTGTTTTGTTTTCCTTTTGCTCTGTTTGGTCATTTATTTGTCTCTGGGAGGGTGAGGGGGGCACAGAAATGGGGGAACAGAGGGTGAACGAATGCACCCATGGCCCTCACTGGACACCATGTGGAAAATCAACTTTTCAACTTCTGGGTGGGGACGGGAGGGAAAAACTGGTAGAGAGCGAGGAAAGGGGGGACATAGTCCAAAAAGAGGTACACTCATCATGTGACGTATGGAACTGTCACCCCTCTGTACATCACCTTTATGACAACAATCAAAAAGTCCTTTAAGAAGCAGTGGCTGGTACCAACAAGAACTGAGTTCCTTCTCATAGCCAGAGAATGAGTAGGCCCAGGGCCTCAAATCCAGTCTCTCCCCATTCTTCTCTGGTGTTTGCAAAGCAACTGAATGACTCGGGAACTATACAATCTCCGCGTTCCCTGTCACTTTTGGATCACGTTCTAATTATCTGGTTCCATTCTCATATATGGGCTTCACACCAGCTAGCAAATAAACTATGATGGGAGCTCTGCCTTCTGCGGACTGTGTAAGAAACAAACCTAATGTCGTCATCGTGGAGTAATGCCGAAGTGGTCATTAGCTACGATACCCACACCCATGATTATTCTTTTCAAGTAAATCTATGAAAAGATCTGCTTTGTGAACGTGATTACTGGTTAACATCTGTCACAGGGTATATGGATGAAAATCAAGGAATATATTAAAGATCATATCTGACACAATTCCTCTTCACTAAGCCTGCCACACATTAATTTAGCTATTTAGCAGACATTGAATAGATGCATACCATGTACAAGAAACTAAGCTAGGCACTGAAGTATCATAACTTTTTTTTTAAGTCCTCAAACTCAGTTTCCACCTTCGCAGGAAGCTTCAGTTATAGCAGGGGTTGCTGGGATTTTACAAAGCCAGTGACCTCAACAGACAAAATGATTCCAGATTCATTCAGACAAATCCACACAGCACTTTGCCATACTGTAATTTCCTCGAGTCTTACGAGTTCTTATCATTTCTCATCATCAACAAAACAAAACAACCACCACGTTAAAAAAAAAAATACCTGGGACTGACTCTTCCTTCCAATAAAAGATTATTTCTCGATCAAAACCTGAACTCTGGCCTCATCTTCCAGAGTAAACCTGTGAGCTATTTCCAAGATTTCTGGTTGGGGAAGAGTGTACTGAGGGAAGGAGGTGCAGTAGGAAGGAAGGGGTCAGGGAGGCAGAGGCTGTACGCATGGTAGATCTGCTTCCTGGAGGACTCCAAACTGGGATTCGTTTTTGTTTTTATTTTTTGCACACACACAAAGAGCTTTAAGCCTCTTTCTGTCACAGGGGCAAAGAGGAACTGAGGAGAGCTACAGCAATACACAGGGTCTTAAGGTGAAGACTGAAGGTTTGCCTCATTCCAGTCGGCATTGTGGAACACAGTTAAAGAAAGCCAGGAGACCCTAATGGGGAAAGCACAGAAGCAGCGGATGAACAAACAGGTAGGGGATCAAGGATCTAAAATAAGAGGCCGACATGCTAAGATCAAACGGAATGGGGTTGGCTCTGGTCGAGAAGGGGGAACACAGCACTGTAACACGCTTTTGCTTGTCGCCTTGGCCAGAGAGATGTGGTCATCTATTCTATATTCTTTATATTCCTCCCAACTTATTCCTGGAGTTTTATTTTATACAGCACATCTGCTCCTCTCCGAAGCGCCTCTGGTTGTAAAATGCACCATAAATTTAATAAGAGCACTTTGGCACAAAGGAGAAAAAGATCCTCACATCAAACATAAACCTATCCCTGGTTTCTAAGAGATATTCATAGTTCAGACACGTGAAGAGTTGAGAAAATGACGTCCACAGCCACGCGCCGTAGGCTCACGCCTGTAATCGTATCTCCTTAGGAGGCTGAGATCTGAGGATTGGGGTTCAAACACACCCCATGGCAAGGAAGTCCTAGAGACTCTTCTTTCCAATGAATCGACAGAAAGCCAGACTAGAGGTCTGGCTCAGGTGGTGGAGCACCAGCCTTGAGCATGAAGCCATACACACAGGGGATGTACCCTAATCAAGTTCGCCTCCTCCATCTTATCTTCTCATCCCCTCTTCTTTAAAAAGTTTCAGCAGGTTACATTGATCTGTGTCCATGCGCACACATAACGTACGCTGAACACATTCATCCTGCTCCACCAATCCGTTTTCCTCCCAGCTCAACCACTGTCCCTGTTGTTTGTCCCCACCCCCACCCCAGCCTATTCTAACTGTAACTGGTCATTCACATGTGTACACTGCAAGTTATTCACCGTTTCATCTATTGCTCTCTCCAGCTCTTCCTTTATTTTTATTTGGTCGGGTTGGAGCTTGAACTCAGGGCCTGACTGCTGTCCCTCAGCTCTTCAGCTCAAGGCTGGCGCTCTACCACTTGGGCCACAGCTCCACTTCTGGTTTTCTGGTGGTTCATGGGAGATCAGAGTCTCACAGACTTTCCTGCCCAGGCTGGCTTTGAACCGTGATCCTCAGATCTCAGCCTCCTGAGTAGCTGGGCTGACAGGAGGGAGCCACTAACACTCAGCTGTCTCCCCAACTCTTCATTGCTCAGCAGTTCTAGTAAGTTTCCTTATTCCAAACCTGCTCATCGACACCATGTAGTTGATGTAATTTGTCATTCATTATTCTCTCTCTCCATCCCCAAACAGAAATAGAAAAGGAACCCAGAAATATCAGAAATTGGCTTCACATTTCTGGTATGGACAGATGGGCTTGCCTATCATGTTCTATGACCATTCTGCTTTAATTACTGTATCTTTGTGCTATGTTTTAATAATGTTGTATTACTATTTTCTTTTTGTTATATTGCCTGGAATTTGTTTACTTTTTCATTTATTTTCCCCTATTATGTTTAGAACATAGAATAAATACTTGAATTGGTTATCCTGATACCTTGGTGGACAGTCAAGCTGTGGTTTTCAATTTATTCTAGACCTCAAAGGCTTCGTATTTACTCTTGCAATGCTATTACTCTTGGTAACTTCATTCCTATTGGTAGTTATGTTCAATAAGAACCCTTTTGCTTCCATTGTGTAGAGAAGATTTCCTTGTTTCTCTTGTACAACTGTACAAGTATACTTTATGTAGCAGCTTTGTATAGTAAATTCTCTCAAATAAAACTTTGCTAACATAATCTTAATGTTATAATAATGTTAATATTATTATTATAAGCTGCAATTCATTCAGAGGCTTTTTTTAAATTAAATATGGCTATTCTAAATGTTTACCTTATTTGAGGATTGTGGTTCAAAGCCAGCCAGTGAGAAAGTTAAGTTGGAGAGACTCTTATCTCCAATGAACCACCAAAAGGCTGGAAGTGGAGCTGTGGCTCAAGTGGTAGAGCGTTAGCCTTGAGTTCTAAAGCTTAGGAACAGCCCCTGGGTCCTGAGTTCGAGCCCCCTGACCAGTAACGTACAAAAGAGTAGCACCATTTAAATCAGAGCAGGATCCTACCGATTACCTGGCATACTGAAGGTATGGGGCTTCTGAGGACATTGGTCTCTTGTGGCCGAGTGAGTGGCTCCCAATCCCTCATTTCTGTAGAGGGCATGCTCAGATGGGACCCACATTCCAGCACAGAAGGAAATGTGAGGGAAGGGGAGGAGGTGGAAGGAAAGAAAAGGAAGAAAAGAGGAGGAGGAGAATTGAAGGAATGACCCGGAACCTACGGCTGACTTTATCATGGCAGCAAGGTTTCTATCGCGCACCACAAGACAGCGTGCAACATGCTATTAACACTCACAAGAAACACTAAAATAAACGCAGTCCCAAGTGAGTGGTTAATCCATGCCTTCAACAACTACAAGCAGCCTCCTCA